GGGGCTAGTTTGTTGAAAGTCTTTAAATACATGCTGTTGACCAATTTGTTTCATTCACAAGACCTGTATAATACCCCTGACAGTAACAGAAAATCTATTTAAATATTTCCGATGCATCAGCCTGTGTAGCTAAAAAACCTCTCTAAGAACACATCCAAAAGAGAAAGGAAGCAAGGAATCCCAAACTAAAACTAGACTTTAAAATTCAGCAGAAACTAACCATTTTCAGCCAAAGGAACCTTGCAAAAGTACCAGCGGACATCACCCCCATCAGAAGGACTCCTCGTCTGTGCAAGATACTTCTGACGACCCTTGCAATGCTCTATCACATCCTCCAATCTGGCAATGTTATATGGCGTGTTCTTCAACAAATCGGGTGATGTTTCCTCCACCCCACTTGCTCCCACAATCCTGGGGTTCACTGCCGAATCCGCCATCTAAACCAAAGCTTCAATCAAAACAAAATAGCTGCAGTTGTCTCAAGTTAAGTACTGGTTTGTTTTGATTCTTTCTTTCCGCAATAGCAAACAGAGGCAAATGCTATTGGAATTTAGCTTGAAGCCTTTTGACCAATTTTAATTCTACAAATTGAAGAAACATGAAAAGAAACAAAAACCCATCAAAGAAAACGTCGAGTTTGACCGAAAATAGAAACCCAAAATTCCAATTTCAGAAATTTTTAAAAGCCTGTTCTCTTAATTCTTAAAACCCAAATCTAAGTGATACATATTAATAAGTTTAACAACCTTCAATTCGAAAAGCAAACCGAAATAAAGTTGTCCAAGGAAAAACAAAACAGTACCTTTCTTTATTGATTGTGTCTTCAGAATTTGTCAATATTCTTCTGCTGATATCAGACCATCCATCCTTCATGCAGGAGCAACATTCGTGGAATTAAGCAAACTTTAAAACCCAAACCGTAAAACAACGATGGAGGCTTTATCAGGTACCTTATGAAAATGGGGTTTCTTTGAATTCCGCAGCAGTGTTAGTTTCCAAAGCCTCTACGTCATCTCCTATTTAAAATAGCAAAACAAGAGAACCAAGCTAACCGAATTCCTTTCCAGTTACTTTTTGTTAATAAAATATATTGTAAAATGTTCAAAGTTGAAGGGTTGAATGGCAGTTGTGTGAATTGAATGTCTGGTACAATTGGAGCAACAACCATGAAGAAGCTTACACAAAAGAGAGAGAAAGAAATGACGGTTGCATTCTCCTTTTGTAATTCTACACCTTCCCCCCTCTCTCTTTATATTTTTCATTTTCAATTTTGTTTGCTTTCCAGAGAATTTTAACTTTGCTTAGGAACTTGGAAATCTGGATATGACCTGTTCTTGGGTTTTGACTCCCTATTTTTCTATTACCGATTTTCTAATTTTTCAAAACTTTTATTATTATTTAGAGTAAATTAGATCATATGTTAACAGGTGGTTTATTTCTTATTTTTCAGATATATTCATATCTTAATTGAATTTTGTAAATATAAAAATATTAACAATTATTAATTATGTCGTGATTTTATACATATAGATGAATACGTTTAATAAATGTGTAACACGAAAAAACTCGACTAACTCGTTTTATTAAATTTATTAAGTTAAATTGTATACGAAACAATTAAAGATTATATAATTTATAACTTGTTTATATTATTAATACAATTAACACAATTATATCGATTAAATTTATACATATATAGTTAAAATATAATCCTCTTATTTAAATTTACAACCAAAACTTATAAATATCATAATATTTATGAAATAGAATAAAATTTCATATCAATACGTCTTAATTGTCATAATAGTTTATTCGAATAAATAAATGAGCCTTAACTGTTAACTGAATGTGCTTATATGATAAGTGTACATAACTAAATAAATGAATAATAAATAAATTATGATTGCACAATAACACAATTAATTAATTATATTTTAAACAGGTTAAATAAATTTAATACTATTTATTCGTGTTTTAACCACACAATTAATAGTAAACGCTACAATAAATCTAACCTTATTATATGATCAATTAATAAAATTTTTAAAAAATAATAAAAATATGTATAATAGGTTAACAGGTAAATACCATATATAATTTCACCAAGAAGATGTCCAAATTTTTTTTTTTTGAGACACCAAAAGATGTCCAATTTCAATTGGTATTAAATAATGTATAAAATATTTTTTGAAAAAAAAATTTACAAAATAGGTCAATTTGATTATGAAATGCAATGATTTTATGGATTAATGTAATGAAAAATGATTGAAATAGTTTTATCTAATCAAATCAATGGTCATTTTCAATTTGCTCATAGATTGTAAAGCGAAGATGACATAAAGAGTTTGGTCCTCATCAAAATTTTTGATTTGACATTTGATTTGTAATAAGGAAAGAGACTATTTCTTTTCAAGCAACTTCATTTCCCTCTATTTAGGCTATTTGATCCAAAACTATTATTTGTTACATGTTATTTGACTTTAGTTATGCTTGAGTTATTAGATTTTCGATTTCACATGTGAATTAAGCACATCGATGAATACTGCGAATAACACATAATAATAGAAATGCATCTCTATTTAACTTAGAGAATAAGCCACTTATAGTCACTATAA